TCTGGCAACTCCTTATTTTTTATTTTTGTGACTGCAATGACTTTCTGAAAAATATAGTTGACTTCCCAAACTTGTAGGTGATACATACAGCAAGTGGATTTCAGATACTGTGAATCAAATTACAGCTGCCATAGTCAATGTTTCAAAAAACTTATAAAACCATTAAAAATTTGTAAAATATATATAATGACCCAACAAAGCAATTGTAAGGTCCTGTTACAGTAAGCCTATTTCTACTAAGATATTTGCAGTTATTTTGAGTGTATGTGTGTGTTAAGAACCGGACTATTGGTGTCCAGGGAAACTTTTTAGGAGGTGACAGTTGAGCTGAGACTGAAATGGTGACTGCGAGTGGCCCTGTGGACTTCAGAGGGAAGAGCCTTCCAGGTGGAGCGGGGAGGGGCAGCAGGTATAAAGGTCCTGGGGCAAGAGGAATGAGCTGGGACTGGTCAAGGCTGAGAAAGGCAGCTGTGTGTCTGATGCCTGGGAGCAAAAGGAGGGGGGCGGGGGATAGGCAGAAGCTATGAGGAAGAGTCTGGATGCTGTTCTAAGTATGAATTAGATTGTTGGTGGATTTCTCTTCTGCCTGTAATTGCCAGATCTGTGATGTCCAGTCCTTTGCTGGAAGATCTTCTTTCTGAGTCTCTGATATTTGTCATTCATTCATTCATTGTTCTCTCAGTTGAGTACTATCCTATGAGGTTATGAAGACCAAATACTTACCGGGAAAGGAAACCAGCTTCAAAAAGGGACTGTGCTACATATGTGCCTGACTAGGAATTGCTGTCTCTGTATGGCACAGTGAGTGAATATACAGAGGAGTGTCCAAGAGAGGTGTCCAGGAGATGGATTTAAGCTGATTCTGGGTACTGATGTCCTGCAGACCGTCAGTAAGAAGGGTAGTGGTGTGGCTGTGTTTTCAACAAGTTGAATGCAGAATACAAGAATGATTAGGAGGAGAGCAAGTATCAGCCAATGCAGCATGTTTTTGTAAGTAAAGTATTGGCACACAGCCACACCCATTCATTTACCTACCATCTCTGGCAGTTTTGGCATGGCAATTGCAGGGTTGAATGTGGATCGCAAAGCCTAAAATATTTACTGTTTGGGCCTTTACAGGAAACATTTGTGATCCCCAGCTAGTCAAAAGGGATTTGTGTCTCTGGTGCTGGGCTGAGAGGTATATGTGGAAGCAACTTTATGAGCAGCTTGATTTTTGTAGATGCACCAGGAATCTTGGAATCTGGATGTTGGCAGTGGAAGAGATTAATGTTGCCATAGTTCAGATGAAGGGCGATAGGACCTGCCTGACAGCCCCAGCTTGGGGATACTGGGGAAGACAGAATTGTGAGGTTCTCTGAGACTTGGTGACTTGCTATGGGACAAGAGACAAGAGGACCCCAGAGTAATTCCCAGATGTCTGACTTTGGGGATCAGGTGGAACATGTTGCTTCAGTGAGTGAGGGACCACAGGAGAAGCTGGTTTGGATGGGGGTGGGGGGCGTTCAGTCATGGGCTTGCTCAGCTTGAGATGTCTGTGGGACACTTAAGTGGGGCCCTTTTCTAGTATGCACAACTGGATTTCAGGGTCTGTAACTGAGGGGGACAGGCTGGAGTCAGGATCTAGGAGCTGTCAGCGTACAATTGGTCATTTCAGTCATGAAAACAGATGAGATCACCCAGGGAGAGGTTGGAGAGGGAGCATAGAGGGCCAGAGCACAGCCTTCAAGGAGCAGGAAACCAATTAAGAATCAGAGGAAAGTGAGTTTTTTTTTAAACTGGCAAAATATAAAAATTTGAAACATTAAAATTTACTATTTTAACAGTTTAAGTGTGCAATTCAGTGGCATTAAGTGCATTCACATATTTGGGCAGCCATCACCCCCATCCATTTCCAGAGCTTTAACTTCTTCCCAAACTAAAATTGAAACTTTGTCTCCATTTTAACACTAATTCCCTATTCCCCTCCCACAATCCCTGACTTCCATCATCTACTTTGTTTCTATGGATTTGACTTCTCTAGGGACCTCGTGTGAGTGGAATCCTACAATATTTGTTCTTTTGTATCTGGCTAATTCACTAAGGATAATGCTCTCAAGTTTCATCCTTGTAGCATGTGTTACTATTTCCTTCTTTTTCAAGGTTGAATAATATTCCATTGTCTAGGTGGAGTGGACCACATTGTTTTTCCATTCACCCATCTGTCCATGGACACTTGGGTTGTTCTCACCCTTTGACCATTGTGTATAATGGGGTGAGAACAACAGAAGAGGTATTGAAGAGATTCTTAGATGGAAGGAGTAATTGGAAATGGACTCTGCAGGCAAACGGAGAGTAACTCAAGGACTGAGTACCAGGGAGCGTGAGGACTGATGGAGACCAGAAGGATTAGATGGAACCAGTCCCCATAGAAAGGCAGAAGGCTGGACTCATGAGCGCCTAGTTCCCTGGAAATGTGTTGAAATCATCCTAACGATATAGAATCCATTCCTAAAGTCATAATAGCACTTAATCATGCTTACATTTTAAAAATAGGAACTGTTTATCTTTTAGAAACAGTGCCATGTTTCTAGGATATGTTTCTGTCCAAAAGGTGATCCGTGGGGTAAGGCCTTGGAAGCAGTTTCCAAAAAAAATTACCAGCCCACAAATATGTTCCAGCTCCACCCGGGCCAGGGAGAACCCAAAGAAAACACACAGTGCTTTCCCACCTCTGCTGTTCTTCTCAGCATATGTACAGGCAGATGTAGCCTGCTTTGAGAAAAAATAAATTTGGAATTCCAGCCCCACAGAAAATGGCTTAAAGGATATGCTTTAGCTTTTTCAAAGAAGTCTTCATTTTCTAGAAGAGCTCACTTATGAGGGACTTCTATATGTGACGAGCTCTCTTGGTCCTCTGTCCATTCAGCAGATATTTGTGAGCCCCAAATCTCAAACACCTTATAATTAATTCAATACTGTAAGTTTTAATATAACAACATCTGTAAAGTTAAGAGGAGAGAAGATGCTAGAGAATTTTATAATTGTTAGCAACCATTGGCCACTGACATTCAGATCTGAAGTTAAAGCATAAACTGTGGATATATTATTTTAGGAGCTCACTATTTGTGTAAATCATGGTATGGTTATACAGCCAACTCTTAAAATGACAACTGAGAGTAAATAGAAAGTATTTCTGGAAGCCCTTTGTGACTCAGTTAATTGCTGGCCTTAGGTCACAACTGAGCATGTATTTGTCAGCTGGGCTCTAATCGCTGAGAGACCAGTGCAAGGGAAAGGTTTAGCAGTCAGTGGCTATTTTAGATGGTGGAGGTAGAAGTGGCAATAGGGCAACAAGGTGGTGCCCCCACCAGACTTGTGGTTGTAAGCTTCTCTTCTCCCTTGGTGGGGTCTACATAGCCTAACTTTTGTCTCTGCTACAAGGGGCCCATCCCTCCCCTCTGTCCTAGGAGCACTATTTCCTCAGCCTTTAGCTCACCACCAGGACGCATGCTTCACACATCATTTCGTAACCTTCAGACTTGGGTTACCTCTTTATCTCCTCCTGCCTCGGTTCTCCTTGGCTATGCTAGGAGGGAAGGATGGGCAATTTCTCTCTACTTTTGTTAACCAAACTGATGGACTGGCCCTTCCCCTTTGTTATAACCATATCCTACTTAGCTTGGTTCAAGGCTTGTCTCCATTCAGCCCCATTTCCATTTCCATTGCCTTGTCTTTCACTATTTCTCCAAATGTGCTTCTCATCCCTTAAACAGGTCTTATACTTTTGTCTCTCCTCTGTCTGGAATGTTATTACTACTGATGACAATCTTACTCTTCTCTGAAGACCCTTGTTCAATGCTCTCTCACATTGGAGACTTGAGATTTTAATTGCTGAGCTGAATGGGAAAATGTCAGATTAGGGCGGAACTTTTCCTCCTCAGCACTGTTGTCAACTCTTTGGGGCTGGACCATTCCTGGTGGAGGGTGGGAGGCCATTTTGAGCACTGTAGCTGTTGAGCAGCATCCTAAGCCTCCACCTGCCAGAGCACCCACCCACTCCCAAGTTGTAACATAACCATGTCTCCAAACATGGCCAAGTGACCCCTAGATGACAGAATCATCTCCTTGTTAGAGACCACAGAACTGATCTGCCAGAAGTGGCAGTGACTCCTGAGGTGGCATGCCCGTAGATTTAGCATCCAAGGCTACTTGGATATGTTGTGATTTATGTGTCTTATATTCTGTTCTCAGTTGTACACTCCTGGGGGACAGGGACAGCTGGGACTTCCCTTAGGACTTCATATTTAATACATGAGTGAATAAAACGCTTGAGCCAGAGTGCTCTTCTGAGGGCAAGAACTACATAAAGTAATGGCAGCCTTTTGTGATTTTTAGTATGTTCACAAAGTTACACGAGCATTACCACTATCCAGTTCCAGAATATTTTCATCACCCCAAAAGGAGCCCCCTCCCCCTTAGCATTCACCCTCATCTCCCTCCCCAGTCCCTGACAACCACTAACCCACTGCCTGTCTCTGGGGATGTGCCTGTTATATGGAATCACACACTCTGGCTTCTCTCACAGAGATGATGTTGTTGTTGTTTTAATAAATCTTTATTGTTCAGATTATTACAGTTGTTCGTCTTTTTCCCCCCATAGCTCTCCTCCACCAGTTCCCCCCCCACCCTCCGCCCTTACCCCCCCCTCCCAAACACTGTCCTCATCCATAGGTCTCTTCCCGTACCCCCACACCCCTTTCCCCCAGAGAATTGTTAGTCCACTACCTTTCTTTGCCCCTGATTATGTTCACCAGTTTATTCTGTTCACCGGATTTTTTAGTCACTTGATTTTTAGATTCACTTGTTGATAGATATGTATTTGTTGTTCATAATTGTTATCTTTACTACTTGGACATGTAGTAAAGATGAAATTTTTCTTCTTCCTCTTCTTAAAGAATACCTTTCAGCATTTCATATAATACTGGTTTGACGGTGATGAATTCCTTTAGCTTTTTCTTATCTATGAAGCTCTTTATCTGACCTTCAATTCTGAATGTTAACTTTGCTGGGTAGAGTAATCTTGGTTGTATGTTCTTGCTATTCATCACTTTGAATATTTCTTGCCACTTCTTTCTGGTCTACATAGTTTCTGTTGAGAAATCAGCTGACAGTCATATGGGTACTTGTAGGTAACTAACTGTTTTTCTCCTGCTGCTTTTAATATTCTCTCTTTGTCTTTTGCTCTTGGCATTTTAATTATGATATGTTTTGGTGTGGTTTTCTTTGGATTCCTTTTGTTTGGGGTTCTTTGCGCTTACTGGACTTGTAAGTCTATTTCTTTCACCAGATGGTGGAAATTTTCTGTCATTATTTCTTCAAATAGGTTTTCAATATCTTGCTTTTTCTCTTCTTCTGGCACCCCCATAATTCGGATGTTGGTACACTTGAAGTTGTCCCAGAGGTTTCTTATACTATCTTCATATTTTTGGATTCTTTTTGCTTTTCCAGTTGGATGTATTTGCTTCTTCATATTTCAAATCTTTGACTTGATTCTTGCAATCCTCTAGTCTGCTGTTGGATCTCTGTATATTATTCTTTATTTCAGTCAGTGTATGCTTAATTTCTAGTTGGTCCTTTTTCATATCCTCAAGGGTCTCATGAAATTTCCCGCAGTTTCTAGAAAATTATTGAAAAACCTTATAACCGTGGTTTTTAATTCTATATCCAGTAGTTTGCTTTCCTCCATTTCTTTCATTTGTGACCTGTTTCTTTGTCTTCGCATTTTGGCTGCTTCCCTGAGTTGATAGAGTGGCTTTGTGTGCTAGATGTCCTACAGGGCCCAGTGGCTCAGCCTCCCCAGTTACCTGAGGTGAATACTCTTGGCGCACCCCTTTGTGGGCTGTGTGCACAGTCTTGTTGTTGTTAAGCCTTGGTTGTTGTTGGTATCACTGGGAGGAATTGACCTGCAGGCCAATTGTCTGTGAGAATCAGCTGTCTATGATGGGAGAACTTCTGTGCTGGAGACACCTTTATGGGGCAAGACTTGCTTCAGTGGGGCTTTGGTGCTCATTGAGTCTGCCCCTTGAGTGTGTCCCTTATGGATTTGAGGAGTTATAATCTGGATGGTCCCACTCTGATATATTGGATACCCACTCTGGGTATAGGATCTCTAAGGGGGTGCAAATTTAGCCTCTGCCTGAGACCACCCAGCAGGAGTTACAGAGAGATCTGCAGATTCCTCTTCTTTGTTTGGGTTTTGGAAGTGCCCAGATGAGACCCAGCTGTGAAGCAGTGCAGGTTTTTGTGGGGCCTTGGGCCATCTTTTGGATGTTCTGGGTCTTTCTGACTTAGCTGCAGTTTTGTTAGGTAAGTCTAGATTTGAAAGGACCAGGCCATTCATATGCAAAAGCCTCTGTGCATAGCTTGAGTGGGGCGGGGTCTCAGGGAATCCACAGGGCCGAGCAAACAGCAATGGCTGATCCTCAGCCCTACGCTAAGAGGCCCCCAAGTCTCAGTGTTCTGCCATAATCACTGTAAGCATCTCTGAGAGAAAGCCGCCCTAGACCAGTCCCTACTTTCTAGTCAATTCTGCTCTGCCCATTTCACAGCCTTCGTGAGCCAGACTAGCCCCAGTCTCTCACCAGAGCTGTGCCCATGCCTGTGTATACCTCTGGGGGAGGCCCTGCCTCGGAGCTGATTTGTGCCCATACAGGTTCACGCTTGTTGCCTTGACTCTGAGCCAATTCTCACATAGCAACACCATTTCCCTTTCCTTTGAATTCCCCATGGATATATGGCTTTCAACTCTTTGCTACCTTGATACTCCACCAAAGCATTCCTTCTGCTGCCTTCCCAGCAGAAACCTGACCTAGCAGTCCGGCATACAACCTCTGGGCCACTCTCCATCCATAATCTGCCGAATCGGGCCATTGTCCTCCATGTGCCAGCAAAGGGACCCGAGCTCCTGTTGTAGGTCTGCTGCTGCTGTCTCTAGGTCCTGCTGTTGAACTTCCTCATGTAGGTGACTTCTCATTATAGTGAAGACCGTTTTCTCTCTGCAAACAATTTAAAACCAGAATTCTGATGCTCTAATTGTAGATGAAGTCATCCATCCCTAATGCGAGTTTTTCTTCTACTTTAAATTCAATGGAAAACAATTTGAATAAGGATATTTTTCTTTTTAACATCCTTTGAGACTTCTGAGACACTAACCTAATCTGGTTTTCTTTTTTAGTTTTCATGAATATAGAATCTTCTAAAAAACTACCTGCTCCTTTATTCTCTAATGATGATATTTTCATAGGGCTTTTGGCCATAAAGTCTCTAATTCTTTGACTCCTGAACTGAAACATATTCTGGTTTCAAATTTCTAAGGGTGAAATGCCTACCCTAGCTGTTCATTCCTCATTCATTGCTCCCTCTGTTGGTTCTTCTTTACAGGACATGTCTAACCAAATGTTTTGGCATTTTTTTTTTTTTTACATATCACCACCACTACCATTGTCACTCGAGGTTTTCAAATAGAAAATCTCACTAGTCGCCGAAACCTGTTTGGCTCAGTGGTAGAGTGTCGATCTGCGGACTGAAAGGTCCTGGGTTAGATTCCGGTCAAGGGCATGTACCTTGGTTGCGGGCACATCCCCGGCAAGGGGTGTGCAAGAGGCAGCTGGTCGATGTTTCTCTCTCATCGACGTTTCTAGCTCTCTATCTCTCTCCCTTTCTCTCCGTAAAAAAATATATTTAAAAAAAGAAAAAAAAGAAAGTCTCACTAGTATAGTGTGTTGGGGGTATTTTGTTTATAAACAAAGTTTATTTCTAAAAACTTTAAAAATTTTGACCAAGTCCTCAGGCTTAACTTTCTCATTTCAACCAACATCATATTTCAGTTCTTCTTAGGTAAAGAAAAGAATATAGGGACCATTTTAGGTTATATATCATCTGTTTTTCTTCTTCTCTGGCATTTGTCAATGCTTGCTGAGTTTTTTTTTAAATTAAAATAAAATTCATAACTACATAAAATTCACAATTTTTTTAATGGTATGCACATTTCTTTTTTTAATGTTCTTATTGATTTTTAGGGAGAAAAGAAGGGAAAAGGATAGAGAGATAGAAACATTAATGATGAGAATCATCAGTCAGCTGCCTCCTATATGCCCCTTGCTGGGGATTGAACCCACCATCTGGGCATGTGCCCTGGTCTGTAATGGAACCAGTGATATCTTGGTTCAGGGATTGACGCTCAACCACTGAGCCACATCGGCTAGGCAAAAATTCACAATTTTGAAATATAATTCAGTGGCTTTTATGATATTCAAAATATAATGCAACCATCATAATCTTATTCTAAATCACCCCTACACAAACCCTGTGCCCAGTAGTAGTCACTCCCAATCCCCATCTCTAACAACCATTAATCTTTTCTGGATTTGCCTGTTCTGGTCATTTCCTATAAATGCTATCATTAATATGTGGCTTCTTTTGTGACTGGCTTCTTCCATGGAGCATAATGTATTGAAGTTCATGTTGTAATGAGTGTCAGTGCTTCCTTCCCTTTTTTGACTGAAAAATATTTCAATGTGTGGATGGACCACACTTGTTTACCCATTTATTTGTGATGGACATTTGAGTTGTTTCTTTTTGTCTGTTGTGAATATTGCTGCTATGAACATTTGTGGAAAGTTCTTGTATGAGCATAGGTTTTCATTTTTCTTAGGTAGTAAACACCTAGAAGTGGGATTGCCAGGTCATATGGAACTCCGTGTTTACCTTCTTGAGGAACTGCCAGATGTTTTCCATAGGAGCTGCCCATTTTTCTCTCCCACCACCTGTGTAGGAGGGTTTCCGTTTCTCCACATCCTCACCAACACTTATTATTTTCCCTTGTTTTTATTATAGCCAATCTACTATCGATAGATGTGAAGTAATACCTTGTTGTGGTTTTTTATTTCATTTTCCAAATGATGAACAATGTTGAGCATCTCTTCATCTGCTTATTAGTGTTTGTACATCTTCTTTGAAGAAATGTCTATCCAAAGGTAACATCTACAATATTTTTGCATCCAAAAGTTTTTCTTTCTCTGTGAAATGCCCAAAAACCCTGAATCATGAAGGTGCAAGACACATCAGAGCACAGTGGTGGTGAGGAGAGAGTGTGAGAACTGACAGGACGTGAGGGATATCTTCTCTCTCTTGTAACATGGATCCAACTCTGGCTTGTGGTCACCCACATTTACAGATACTTCCTGAAATCCTATATCTTCCTTCTTTAGGAGGGAGACATGACAGGGGGATGTTGATCTTCACTCTCAAAGTGTCCTTGACCCTCTGGACACTGAGATTTCTAGAATATTCTTTGTATAGTTGTCCCTTAGAAGCCACAGGGGGTTTGGTCCTGGAACCTCAGGAATATAAAAATGCTTGGGTGCTCAAGTCCCTTATATAAAGCAGTATAGTGTTTGCACATAACCTATATTTGCATATAGGCTACATTGCAGCAGGATGTGCCACATTTCATTTAATTTATGAAGATTCAGTGTAATGCTCAGTATGTGGCAAATTCAGGTTTTGCTTTTTGGAACTTTCTGGGATTTCTTTTTCTTTTTGGAATATTTTATATCCAAAGTTGTTTGAATCTGGAGATGCAAAATTGATGGATACAGAGGGCCAGCTATAATTATATGGGCTCTTTGATACCTATCCATTTATTTATCCAGAATTATTTTAGGCTCTCTTTCAGAGATACGCATCTAAATGTTTGAGTCTAGTTTAGGGTCAGCAGTCCATGGGCTAAATCAAACCAACTACCTGATTTTGTACAGCTAAGAGTTAAGACTGACTTTTTATATTTTTAAATGATTTTTATATAGAACATATGAAATTATATGAAATCACATTTTGGAGTCTGTCAATAAAGTTTATTGGCACCAGTCAATGTTCATTTGTGTACATATTGTCTATGGTGGCTGGTACCCTATGACAGAGGAGTTGAGTAGTCTTGACAGAGATCATCTGACTCACAACACTTAAAATA